TTTTTACAAGAGTGGTTATCTCTTTGCCTTCAGATTGACTTCTGATTATCACCCACTGTTCAGGCTCTTCCTTGTCTGTCTGGTAGAACTATCTAACATGACATTTGTATGGCACCCACTTCCATGGTAGCTGAGTACCTTCTCTGGACTAGGGATGGGACCTGTTTTCATATCAGATGTTAGCTGGGATGTTGTGTTCAGCCTCATGAATGCAATCCTTTGATGGGAGGAGTACAAGAAGTGGGTAGTTCTGACAATCAAAGCAGAAGTTTTGTTCCAGCAGAGTGGAGCAAATCCCAGTGTCAGCCTCCAGCCCCACTCCCGGAGCGTTGGGACACGCCTAACCCCACCCAACGCAACGCCAAAAAGCAGGATAGAGATGTCAGCAACACTGAAAACCACGCTGAATTCAGATAGTCTTAGGTTCAAAAGGAGCTGGTTCTCGTTTCAAGCCAAGCTGGTCAAGCCGCATACCAGGTTTGCTGGTTCAAGTACCGTCAGCTCACACCACCTCTGCACCGCACTTCATTTTACATCATGTGTCCCTTGTTTGCTCTTAATGCCTCTATGTTTTTTTCTCTCTGTGGTGTAACTCAAATTTGTTTCGTTGTTCTCATTGTTTTCACCCCTGATTTCCATGGCGTCAGACAAAAATTTTTTTTTTTTGCTCCCATATTCACCTGAAACCCTGGGTACCTTTTGCAACCCTATCCAGACACAGTACATTTAATGTCAAATTTTAATATGTCACATTTATTCTTTGCTACTCTTCACGATTTTCCTTTTACTGTCATACGAATATTGATCTTTTTTGTGAAACTTTATTTTTGGTGCATGTTGTTTTGTGTGTGGTGTTTTTCTTATCAGACACATTATCTTGACATCGGTGGTTTTGCTGCATTCATGCATCTCTGGTTCTTTAAATGACTTCATGTCTCACTTCTGTGCCCTTAGTAAATTTTTTAAAAATTGTTTATAAATCAGATATTTTTGGTAAGATGCATACAAAAACAGGAGGAAAGAATTATAGTTTTAGGGAGAACATACCCTGATAATGACCTCTTAAATATTTGTAAAGATAGCCCTGGGCATCTGAGCCCACAAAATAGTTTATAATACAACAGCCTGATTACATAATGATACTTCAGTTTTAAAACGTATGATCTTTCTGTTTATGGGAAGGCATAATAGGCTTCTTTGAAATACAATATTTTTGCCCTGAACATAACTGATTTTAAATGAAAGGACTAACTAAAGAATGCCTTTCTTCAAGTTTGTACTTCACTTTGTTGTTGAATCCAGCACGATGGTTTCTTTTACAAAACTCCTACCAGGCCTGGGGACCACACCTATTTCAGGATATATTAATGGTGAAAGTTTCATGGATTGCTATGCAGGAAGTTACCTAGTACTTTAAACCTAGTTTAAAATGTTATGTTTTAAATTCAAAATATTGTTAAAAAACAGAGAGAGAAGTTTCTGTATATCACACCCCCTGCACATAGAGAATTTCCTTTTATATTCAGTTTGAAGATATTGTCAAATGTAAATTAAGCTTAGGCAGAATGCGGTGTGATTTGGGAAAGGGATTTGTTCTATACAAAAGAAAAGAATTAATGAGAACGTTTCATTCAAGGCAATTCATACAGCATCAGGACTACCTCAACCAATATCAAAATCCAATATTTTAAAACATATGTTTGGATAAATACACTACCTAAGCTCTCATTTTCCCCTTTCTTTTTAATATTTCTCTGCAATACCTGGTTCCAGCTCAGACTGCTACTGGTTATTTCCATTTTGACTAGAAGTAGGAGTGGGAGAAATGCCCGTAAACAAGTGTTCTTCTAAGATCTCCCGTGCAGTTATGCAGAGTGCATATGATGTTCATTATTGTTCGTGTATCTCAACCAAACCTGAGTTCAGTTACCTTTTATCTTTCTCAGCAGGAGTACTTGTATATATTTTTAAATTAAAATAGTTAAATTGTTCCTATAGTTTGGCAGCTAAGCTGATGCATTCTTGAGAAAGTCCCTTTCCTACATTTCTAATACCATTACAAAATTTAGGGTGGAAATAGTGATGTTGTTATCACGCTTTTGACTGTCATTTTTAATTGTGGGTCTATCCTGTTCTCAGGTTCCTCATTAAAACAAACAGAAGCAAAGTTGGAGATCGGGATATAAAGCAAATAAAATACTTGTTCTCCTCAAGGGCAAAATCCAGCAATTCTTCCCTGATAAACCCCACTCCAAAACGCAAGGTCACCCTATGGTGAACAACAGTTGGACTTTATTACAATGACATTTTTTTCTGAAACGTTCTTTACCACTATACTTAAACGCCAGCACCAGATAGGAAACTCTGCAAAGCTTTTGTTTCAACTTGTTCCTTAAGTATTTATAGCCTGTCATGAAGAAACACTGACAGCAGTACAGTGATGTTTTTATTCTTGATAGAGGTGCCCTTAAAAATGAATTTGCTTTGAAAATTGTTCATAGACTCAGGATATTAGAACTATAAAGACATCTCGCTCTCTCTTTTTCTCTCTCTTTCTCTTTTGCGCCTAATTGGATTTCCAAAATAAGTTGTTAACAATCCAGCTAAGATAATGTGGTCATGAAAAGGATGTCCAAATCCACCAATTTGCATTGGTTTGGTTTGGCTTAACTTTCAAAGTTGTTGGAGCAGAAAGTTGATGGCACGTGTACACTATAATTGCCTTGATATTCTTGGATTTTTTTTTTTCTCTCTGCCATATTGTATAGTGTCCAAATGAAATGATAATCAGACCTCATTTCTGGAACAAAGTAAATTTATAACAAGAATAATGCACTTGTATACTCCGGATCATTTTGCAACATGTAATATTCTCCCATTTACAATGTAGTTTGTCATTTTCACTCGATCTGGATAATTTATGTAGGTTCCAAGTTGATACTATTAATGTGACACATTGCTATGCCAGGCAGAGTGACATTCTTGCATTTCCACATATCCAAAAAGGTTAAGAACCAAGCTGAGTTAGATCCAAGCAAAAGTTAACATTCTGTTTTGGGGCTTGTTTGTTTGTTTGTTTTATTTTTCCTCTTTACTTTCTGGTTTAGACTTCAATTTACGTGATGTAACTCTCAATCCCTTACCACAAGAGTCCCACATTCCTATGCTGGGAATTATTCTTGCTCTCTCACTCTCCCCTTACTAAAACAGAATGAGACTCTTCAGATTTAGGATAGAATTGCATTACTTAAACATTTTAGTAATTTCCATTTGCTCATATGTTATATATCCAGTAGATGGATAACTTCCAAGTGTTCTTGATTACCAAATCCTTTTTGATTTCTCTTAAACCTTTTCTTTATCCCTCTCTAACCAAAGGGGATCTTCCTGAAATGAATCATCACCCTCAGTATTATATTGCAGGACACCCACAGGTGCAAGGTAGAAAATTGACTAATAAAAGACATAGCTAAGCAGTGTATAATACAGAATTATTATTCATTTTAGAAATAGATTATTTAATGTAAACCAAATCAGGGTGTTCCTAGCAGAATAGACATAAAATAAAAACTGTATTTTATAAAGAGCGAAAACTAACATGCAAACAAACAAAAGACTTTATTTGGTTTCGGTCTGCATCAAAAGGAAAAGTACATCTTTTAAAATGTTTCAAGATCAGTGAGGAATACCTGCAAGCAGTCGAGTCCACTGGCTATGGCATGCATTTGTCAAGGCACGATGCAAGTATCGTTGAAATATGGACTTGAACCTCAACTCCTTCCTACTTAAGTGTTATTACAACTGGGCTTCAGGGCTTTTAGACTTGTTTTCCCTCTTTCCCGTAACTTCAGTTTTTCCTTTTTCCCCCACCCCAAAATGAGAAAAAAAAAAAAATCTCCCTAAATACATTGTCAGGAAATATTTTGTGAAAATTTTTGGCTTTGACAAATTAGCATTTTCCAAGAGGAAGGCTTTTTTCAGAAATTGCCTGCCAAAAGTTAATTAAAACTTGTGTTCCAAGTGGTGAGGAGCCTTAAAACAACCTGTTTTGTGTAGATTCTCTTAGCTTCTTATGTACTCGCAAGTTTTAAATGTGAAATGACAATGTACAGTTTAGTGTTTTCAATTTTTAAGCACGCAGATTTGGTCATTGTTGCACAACAGCTAATTCTCCTGAGAAAGGAGAGCAGTTCCCATGTGCTTTGAAATGCTACAGCTATGCAACCGGGGCTGGAAGTGCTATTTTAAACAGTCGTATCAGCAGAGCTTGCTGTAGGAGATAATATGTCACAAAAGGGAGTATGACATCTAGTTTCACCTAGAAGATAAACCTTGAGTAGATATGGAGGGAGAAACAAGACTGTCAGGTTGTCCTTGAAAAGAATGGCCTATATTAATGAAGAAATGTACTCCAGGGCATATGCTATTTGGGATAGTTAATTTAATCTTCAAACTTGTCTGATCTGCTATGAAGAATATAGTAAAGAAACGTTAGTTGTGCGTAGTCTCACTCATGTCATGATTTCAGAGTGGGCATCTGGCAGCTTTATTTTCAGAAAGGTCACAGCCTCAGAAATTCACGTCTGAAAAACCCAGACCCCAGCCTGAGAAGTTTCCCCAGCACTATTAATATAAACACCCCACATCTAGGCAGGGCTGGCGTAGCACGGTGCGTATCCCAAACAGCCCTTCCCTACGAGCACTAATCCACTCTCCCCTTCCCGTCACACTCAAACACGCTTGCGGAACCGTATTCTGCTGACAGAATTACAAGATAATTATAGTTAGGTGTTTTGTATTCACTTAAGTTAATCTACCACGTTTATTTTTCATTGTTGTTTTAATCAGGCAGGAGGCACTTCAGTTGTCAGGTGGATTATTTTTCAGTCGTTCACTACACTGCTCTTCTTCATACTTGTTAGGGCACTTCTGGCTTCCTGACAGACGTACAAAGAAAAATACTTATATGATCAAAAATGAACTATGTGTTTCTCTTTCAGGTCTAGATGTTGATGGAATATACAGAGTTAGCGGCAATCTGGCAACAATACAGAAGTTACGATTTGTTGTCAATCAGGGTAAGTGATTCCTCCACCCTGGTAATGTTTTGTTTAGTACTTAACTGTCTCAGATGACAGTATTTCAGAATCTGCTATACATTAGTGGCATAGAATGATGAGCCGTGTTTTGGAAAAGGGAGGAAAGGGAAGGTAGAAAGATATTGCACAGAGGGAAATGTCAGCGAAGAGAGAGGAAAAACAGCAGAGTAAGCAGAGGAAAATAGTAGTTAAACAAGAGATGAGAAACAAACAACAACAAAAAAAAGAAGAAAAGAGGAAATGGATACATGAAATAAGGTGGCAAAAAACAAAGAAGATGTAGAAACTGAAGAATCAAAGTGATGAAAAAAAAAAGATTAAAAAGAAAAATAGCAGATTGTTTGGATGTTGAAAGTTACACAAAACCAAAAGTAGAACAGGGATCCAAAGGAAACCAGCGAAAGAGAAAAAGGTGCTGAAAAGAACTGAAAAGGAAATACTAAAAGTAGCGTACTGGCTCTGTCAAAGTCAGTGGAAGATTTACCACTGCTTTCAAAAAGGCAAAGATTTGAACCCAGGAAACGAGAAGAGGAAAGGTGAATCTTTTGGGGACTCGAGAATCAGAATTAGAACCAACCATTGTGTTACAGTTTTATTTACTGAACATATTTCCACAAATACAAAATAACATTCTTCACAGATGTAACATAAATCAATCTAACATTGACTAATAGGCACTGTTACAGGTGTGGAAGCCGATACTGGTGCTAATTGGGATACATGACAAATACATTCACCTCTCCGAAGAGTTTACTACTCTTGGCAAAGACTAAACATCCCCACATTTAATAGTTTAGCAAATATCATCAATGACGTTGAACCTCCTGGTACTACTTAATTGGAAAATAAAATGAAGCGTCTCAGAAATTAGGAAAAATCCCAAATCTTAAATTGTGTTACAGACTTTATACACTTTTGAATTAATCAGGTATAAACGTGAAGTTGTTGCAGCATTTTCTCCTTCTTTTTATTAACTCTTCTAAAAGTTACTTGGAGACTATTACCAGAACTGTAATTCTGGAAATTCTGTATTGTATGTGTTTTTTCTGGAGATGATAGCTGTTGGAGAACAACTTCTTCAATTAGTTTTGTACTATACATAAACAACGACTTTTGACTCAAAAACTCTCATGAAATTGAGAGATATGAGAGACGTAAAAATATTGCCACCTTCAAGCCTCCATTTACATTTCTAGGGAAGGTTTCAGGGGAGCAGTAGATGTTTGCCACCTTCTCAGCTGCTCCAGATCAGACTTCTCTTCAGCTGAAACTGGAGGATGAACTCCGGTTTATGAAGAATCAATATTTATGCCAGTAAATTCAGCGAGAGTGAATAAATCACCAGCCTCATGCTTTTCACTCATTACTTGGGTTCCCTTGGATTTATAGTTGTTGGGTATTTGTGTGTCGATAATGTAGTCTGCCTTGGCTTTCAAATGACCGAGCACTGTATTTTGTTTGGAGACAAAGAGGCAAAACCAGGATTTTCTTTCCTTCTTCACTGCCTAGAATTTTTTCTCAGGAAAAAAAATGTGCCATAAAAATAATGGTCCTGTCTATCATGTCTCGTGGCATCCAAAGGTTAACGTACTTGAGGTTAAAATTACTGCTCAAGTTTTCACCTAAAACAGATGGGCTCATACTGTAAGGCTACACAGAAGTCTAAGCTGTCTTTCTGCAGCAGAGAGGTACCAGGCACCTTTTTCTTCTGGTTTATACTACTGTGAAAAATGAGTATATCAAGGTGAAGTTAATAGTACATTAAAGCCACTCTGACACTGGCTACTTAGAGCACATGCAAGAAATCTGCCCATTGAGTGACCAAAGAAAATTCAAAGAAAACTAGTGCTCCTGGAGAAATATGCAATCATGTTATCAGTTGTGATAATTACTGTTTCTTATGTTCCTCTTTATTGATACAACTAGGGCACTCATGAATTTTATATCAAAATGAAATAGGTTTTCAATGGGAGGTGATATTATCCATCCGAGCCCCCCTTACACACCCTTTAAAATGCCAGCTGTAACAATATCTATCCAGGCTTGTACTTAGCCTTTCCTCACGTAAATGCATGCAAAAATGCCCAAGTTCGTCTTCTGTAGACCCTAATGCCGCTTTGCAGTCCTCAGGGGCGACACCAACACCGTGTGGGCGGAAGGGGAAGAGTCTAGCATTTCGGTCCCAAAGAATAATCCCGTAATGTTTAATCAGAACGTTCGAGAAGTGACACAGACACAATGAACGGCTTTAAGATAGCAGGCCCCTCTTTCAGTCGCTCAGCTAACATCCTTCCTCTGCGCTAGGTAAGCAAGCGCAGCCTTGGGTCATGGAGTCAAACAGCCCATTGAGTCATGGAGTACCCGTGGAAAACCGCGTGGGGAGACGTGGGCAACAGGTTTCAGTTAATGTATGCTTGGGAGGGCAATGGCGGTCTCCACCCGATGTTCCCAAGAGCCCGAGGTGCCCAGTCAATTAGACGCTGAGGACAGCAGCAGTTTCAGACTGTTTCACGGAGTCACAAAAGTTGCTAAGAAAACCAGTACGTGCTCCCAACCTGCGTATTCACCAGTCCTCTAAAGCTCTGCGGCGGGATGATGTTTAATAATGCGCTCTCCACGCATCGCTTTCACTCGCTAATTATTGTGACCTCCTCAGCTCAATCCCTGTACCTTCATTTTTCTGTAGTTAACAGTGGGAAGACAGTAATTGTATATATGACTTTCCATAGAGATTTTCTTTTTCTTTTAGTTGAAGTTTAATTTAATTATAAATGCAAACAAATGTTCTGAAAAAGCCTATTTACACTGCAGAGATTGACTGTGCAATCAGTTCTTATACAGGCCAACTACTTAGCGGGCTCTTTCTTCCTGCTTGCTTTGCCATTGTGTTACACCTACATTTATAGGCTATAAATAATACGTATCACATTGAAAATTAAAGATCATAGAAGACACTCTAGGCTGGCTGCCATATCAGAGGATTTTTTATTAGAATAATCATTAATTAAAATATAGCAAAGCTTTATTTGGCTCCTTTTCCTATATGGTTAATGTCATCTGCGGCATCAAAAATGAAATAAGAGTACTGGTGAATATGAAAGGAAAACAAACTAACAGCTGACAGCTTTATCATTAAAGAAGAAATAAGAACCGTAAAAAATCTAATAAGGCCCTTGAAATTGTAAATTTTTTGTAGTTTTTTTGAAAAGGTACCAGGGATGAGCATGGGTCTACAACAAAAAAACATCCCTTGTATCTTTTAAAATTCTCTGAATATACTTTGTGTTTCATTTTCATTTCTGGAGGTAGGCAGCTCCTGAAGAGGGCTTTGTCCCTGCCAAGACGAGCATCAGCAGAACAAACTGCCTTATTTACTTTATCCCTTTCACAGAGTTTTCTTTTTCTATAAAAGTCAATTGATATCACACCTTTTTTGCTTCTGTGCAACAGGATTATCTTTTATCTGTGATTTATTTTCCCATTAAGAGACGAAAAGATCAGTTGATCATAACAGGATCAGGCTATAACATCTCTCAGCACTTTCAAAACTCTAAGTCATCATTTTTCAAATCACTGAATCAAGGCAGTAGAAGCTGTTTGCACCAAATTGACGTTTCCTACTTTTATACATTCTTACATTCGTACTCTTCTTAGTCTACAAGCACTGAAAGAATTTTGGTTTTAGAAACTAAGCTACCAGTCATCCAGTCATTCAGTATTTCTGGCTGAGAACCCGGGGTAAAGGCTTCTATAATAGCCAGAGACATTAGACAGAGATGTCTGTTCCTCTTATGCTTTCCGTATTATTGGTTACATCTAATAGTTGCAATCTTAAAAAAAAAAAAAAAAATTTGGTACTCGGTAATTTTTTAGGGATTTTAGGACAAGTGTGGAGGCCTTTTGCTGATTTTAAGGAAAGTCCAGTAAGTTAAAGCCTTTACACTTATTTATAAGGGTATTCTTTTATTTCACACACGTAGGAAAAAGGATAAGGTACTGTAAAGGGGTCTGTTAAGCCGAGTAAAGTGTGCCAGCAGTTCCAAGGTATGAGGATGCTACTGAAAAGATCAATCGTTTTGGCCCAAAGCCCCAGGGTGGGGCTGACATGGGCCCTGAACCCATGGGCAGGGGTGGGGGAGCCCCAGCTGGGGCTGCTCAGGGCCGTTAAGGCACCGCTACATGAAAGCGGGGACGGCTGGGAGCTACTTTTCCAAAGCAAGCTTCTCGCCTGGTCAAAAATGCTAACGGAGAAGCAAACAGCGCCTGAGAAAGAGAAGAGGGGAAAAAAAAAAGGCGGCAAGACCCCTTCATCCATAAGGGTGTTAGTTTATAAAGAGGAGTGAGACTGGTGCGCTCCCTGCTCTGGTCGAACCCGTCGTGGTGATGCACTCCGTGGGATGATGGGGTAAGGACCGTCCTTGTGCCGAACCCTGGGGGTTCCCTGTCCTGCAGCTGCCTGTCCTAGCACCCCTCACCTGCCTTCTAGAAGGCCAGAGATACCAGGGCGAGGAGGTAGAAACTTCCTTCTGTATGCCCCCCGTGCGAAGCTGCTGGGCAGCTGGAAAGGCAGCATTCGACTTCCGTGACTGTCAAACAAGCAATTTCCATGAGTACTAAATTAATGGAAAAAAAATGGAGCTATAAAGGCTTCATAACACATTGCTGAGACACTAGGATTCTATCCTAATGCATATATGTTCAGGGAAACTAACCATAGAAATACAAGTTTCAATACTTACGGGTTCATTCAGTGCGCGCTAGTTCATACATAATACAAGAGAGTTCCTAATTGTCTTTATATCCAACGCTTTGTTTGCAAAGTGCTTGGTATTTGCTGTGCAGATGACCTTTGCGTCCCGTTATTTCATTTGGAATACCTTGTGTGTTAACTGCAAAACACCACGTACCGTCCAAAGGTCAATCACTGTGTTTTAAGGGCTTGGTTACTATACTTATCTACTAAAGGGGGAAAAAAATAT